TTTTTTTGGATATGATACCTAAAGCATAAGCAACAAAATAAAAAATGAACAAGTGGGACTACATCAAACTGAAAAGCTTCTACACAGCAAATGAAACCTTCATCAAAGTGAAAAGATAACATACAGAATGGGAAAATATATTTGCAAATCATATGTCTGATAAGGGAGTTAATATCTAAAATATATAATAAACTCATACAACTAAATAGCAAAAAACCAAATAACCCAGTTTAAAAAATGGGCCCAGGACCTGAACAGGTATTTCTCCAAAGAAGATATATAAAAGTCCAACAGATACATGAAAAGATCCTCAATGTCACGAGTCATTAAGGAAAAGCAAATTTAAAACCACAATGAGATACTATCTCATGCCTGTTAGAATGGCCACTATCAGAAAGACAAGAGATAACAAATGCTGCTGAGAATGCAGAGAAAAGTGAACCCTTGTGCACTGGTGTGGGGCTGTAAATTGGAACAGCCACTATGGAAAACAGTAGGGAGGATCCTCAAAAAATTAAATATAGAATTACCATATGATCCAGCAATTCCACTTCTGGAAATATATCCCAAGGAAATGAAAACACTAACTTAAAAAGACACCTGTACTCCCATGTTCATAACAGCATTATTTACAATAGTCAAAGCATGGAAACAACCTAAGAGTCCATTGATGGACGAACAGATAAAGAAGTTGTGATACACACACATACATATACGAACACAGTGGAATATTATTCAGCCATTAAGAAAAAGTGGAAATTCTTCCATTGTGGCAGCATGAATGAAAGTTGAAGGAATTATGCTAAGTGAAATAAGTCAAACAGAGAAAGCTAAATACTGTGTGATCTCACTTATATGTGGAATCTTAAACAAACATGCAAACAAACTCAATAGCAAAAAAATAAACAAAAACAAAAACAAAAGACATAGAAAAAAGGATCAGACTTGTGACTTGTGGTTACCAGGGTGGAGGAAATTGAAGGAAGGTGGTCAAAGGTACAAACTTCCAGCTGTAAGATAAATAAGTACAAGGGATATAATGTAAAATATGATGACTATAGCTAATACTGTATGATCTATAGGAAAGTTGTTGACAGAGTAAGTCATATGATTTTCTTATCACGAGGAGAAAATTTTTTCCTTTCCTTTTTCCTTTCTTTTCTTTTTACTGTATCTATGTGAGAAGATGGATGTTACCTGAACCTATTGTGGTAATCATTTCACAATATATGTAAATCAAACCATCATGCTGTATACCTTAGACTTAAACAATGATGTATATCAATTATTTCCTCAGTAAAACTTGAAGAAAAATTATGAATATACAACAGACATGTAGAAAAGAATGCTTAAAACACATAACTTAATGAATCATTATAATAAACATCCATGTAACCAGGCAAAAATATAACACTGCCAGCACTCCAGAAACTCGCTCTCCCACATTTTTCCTCTTTGTCACAACACCTACCATTAGTGACAACCACTACCCCAGATTTATTGGTAATTGCTTCATGTTCTTCCAGCCCTTCTCTCTATTTTGCCACATGATTATATATTCCTAAATAATGCCGTTACATTTTGCTTGTTTTTGAACTTTATACAAACACAATTATACTATAGGGATTCTTTTATTTCATGCTTCTTTCATTCAATATTATAGTTTTTGCATTCATTCATGTTGTTGCATATAGTTGTACTCAATTCATTTTCAGCCCTGAATAGTTTTCATTGTGTGATTACATCACAATTCATTTATCCTTTCTACTATTAGTGGACATTAGGGGTTATTACAAAAATGCCCCAGTGGGCATTCTTGTACATATGTCCTGGTGCACATGTACCTGAGTTTCTCTTGGCTATATTCCTAAGAGGAACTTGTAGCTCACAGAGTATGCATAGCTTCAGCTCCACTAGCTAATAGCAAACTTTTCCAATGTGGCTGTATCAATTTATTCTCCTATAAGAAAAGATGGCCAATTTCATTAGAAATGAGACAAAATGTATCATTACTGTTAATCATACATCTTGACTTGTCTTCCCAAGCGGTATCTTCCCGAGCCAGGTACTTCCTTAGGGTAATTCTAACCCACTGTTTCTCCTTTCTAGTTTCTGTTAGACTCAGAGTTTCTATCTCAGCATGACTTGTTACCATTAAGTGGATCACTGTTTCTCTTACATGTTACAAGTTAGGATCTTTCTTGGTAAAACTTGAAGGTAACAAACTCTTTTATCATAGGTGATACATATAATTGTTACACTTCAGGGTAGGTCACGCCCTGCAGATAGTTGATCTTTTGTTCTCAGGTTACTACTGTGTTTGGGCTTTTGGCTGTTGAGTAAAGGTTAGGAGCATGAAATCTAAAGCCAGACTGCCCGGGTTTGAATCTCCACTTCACTTTTTAGCTGTATGATCCTGACCTAATTATTTTACCTCCCTTTTTCTCAATTTGCTCATTTATAAAATTAGAATAAATAAAAGTACCTAACTCATAGGGTGACTGTGAGGATTAAATGAGGTAATATACAGGAAGTAATTAGAACAGTGTCTGGCATTCTATTGCTTTGAGATAGTTTTGTGGGCAGTAGAGGGGTTATGAACCTGGGCTGGAGTCAGAAGGAATTCAGGCCCTAGCTCTATTCTTCCCCGACTGTGGGACCCCAGGCAAGTCATATAACCTCCCTATACCTCAGTTCCTCACCTGTATAAACTGAGCTAATAAACACTACCTTGTACAGGTGCCATGAGGATGAAGTGAGATAGTAAACGCAAAATGCAGTGCTCAGTAGTAGTGTAGTACATGGTAGTAGTTGTTGTCATTCTAGCAGGTGGCAGCTAGTGTTCCTGCCCTCAGATGATGTAGATGAATAGCTCCCAGGCCTTAAACTCTTAGCATCTCTGTACGGACCAATGGGTGGCTGAGAAGAGTGAGAATGTTTGGAAGTTAGGGTAGAGAGACCATGAAAGTTACTCTCACTTATGTGTCGGTCCTGGGCAGTGTACACGTAGCTGAATGAGACCCAGTCTACTTTCTAGAGGCTCAGATATGGGCATCCTAGTATGCTGGTAACTAACAGAATGTAAGTAGTATGTCTGGAGCAAGCAATTTTGAGGGTCCTAGGGAGGAAGACTGTTGGTGAGATTGTAAATTGGTACAGCCACTATGGAAAACAAAGTCCTGGGGAGAAAATATCTTTGTGAGCAGTCTTCCTGGAAGAAAACGTTTTTAAGATGAGTCTCAAAAATATGCATGTAGATGGGAGAAAATACTGTTCAGAAGCCACAGTATGTCATGAAGAACTTTGAAATCCAAGCCAAGGAATTTTTCCTTAATTCAGTAAGGATTGAGAGACTTGGTATGGCCAGGTGGCTGTGAGCTGGGAGCTAGTGCCTGAAAGGTGTACTGGGCTAACAGGTAGTGATTTAGAAACCCTACCGTCTGGCACTGCCACCAGTCTTTATCTGATGCACTTAGAAGATGGTATTTGGAGAGAGATATACCCAGGATAGTTTTGATACCAAATTTAATTTTGTGTTTTCCTAACAAATTTCCAAAAACCAGTGTTAAGGTGGCTAGTCATTAGTCTGAGCCTCACTGTACTGCCTTATTATTGTACACAAACTAGAGATAAAATGCATCAATACCTGACCATGACAGTGGATATCTACATCAGCGAGAAAACTGTATAGAGCTGTAAAAACACAGCACACACAAATGAGTACAAGGAAGACTGGGGAAATGTGAACAAGATGTGGTGGATTGTATCAATGTCAATAATCCGATTGTGACGTTATAGTTAAGACATTACCATTAGTGAGACATGCGCACAGTGGACAAAGGATTTCTCTGTACTGGTATTTTTTTTTCAACTGCATATGAATATTTAATTCTCCCAACAAAAAATTTCAATTAAAATGCATTAGTAAAAGTTTCGCTTTGTAGAAAATGTGCTGTCTCGAGTCATATTACACTTCACTCAGTTACCCATACTTCGGGGATTTCTGGGGCACACAAAACAGGTGCCATAGTTTTTTTCGGGGGCTTCAACTGGAAAGGAGAGCAAAGTGCTCCAAAGAAAGAGGTCAAAAGTACAGGAATTGCTCTGCTACTTTGATCTAAGTGAAACTGCCGAGTAAAATTACCCAAAACTTTATAGACAGTACTGCCATTGGGTCTGCTTTATCCAGCTGTTTTCTGATTTACCCACTGGGTCTACTATGTCACTTTGGCGTCAATATCTCCAAAGGTAAGGTTAAACTTACTATTTTATTGTGGGAGTTAAGTTTACTCACCATTAAAAAAAAAAAAAAAAAAAAGGACTGACGTGAAGTTGCCGGGTGTAGCAATTAAAAATTTAGGGAGTTTTTACCTGACCCATTACTTTCGAAAAGGACAACCCGCAAGGATGAGTGAACTTACTTTCTTGAGCGACTTGGAGACCGTGCTAGCAGGGCAGGATTATTACGAACTCTGCAATTATTCTTTCTCTGCTATGTTAAAGGTTTCCCTTTCCAACAGGAGGGCCGACTTCGACTTGAATGAGAGCCCTGAACTTTCTATAAAGTGAAAAAGAGGGGAAGACATGGCAGGCTGGGAATTCGGCCCCGGGAAGGCGTCCACCGCGCTTGAGAACACCACCACGAATTTCCAGAGGAGAAACTTCTCTTCCCCACACTTACAACTTTCGCGAGTCCATGGGCGCTCTAAGCAGCCACCCGAGCTCCCGCGTCCCGGAGGGAAACTGAGGCAGGGCAGGCGCGGCGCGCTCAGCTCTAGCCTCGGCGCCGGCCCTAAGGAGGGAACCCAGGCTTCCAGAGTTCTCTGTGCGGCGCATGCACCTCCGAGGCGCCCTCCCCTCCAGTCCGCCCCGCCCAGCTCGGGACAAAGCCCGGAGCCCGCGCCGGGAGGGGGCAGGGCGG